GTGCCTGCTTGCAGTGAAAGCCTCTTAGGCTGGCGAGGAAGTGAGCAGATTTGCCCCTAGCTGGGGGCAACTGCGGCAGAGGAGGCCTGTGGTATAAGGATTCCTTTGAAAATCAAGAGGAGGGCAAGAGGGGAGCCAGTTCCCCCATGGGGAATTTGGGTGGTTCCCTAACGTTTCTGCTGAAAAGAAGTGAGTACTGACCTGTGCTGTATAAGGGGAGCTCGAGGAAACCAGCCCACATCCACTCTTCCTGTTCCTCTCGCTTTGTGAACTCCTCTGCCCCGGCCTGAATTGTCACAACCTTCTTGTCCACTTGTCTTCTTCTATGATGAACTCCAYTCTTCTAGAAGCCCGGGCAAGCTCTGTCGATCTGTTGTGGGCAGGTCTGTGTTCTGCAGTGATGCTGYGGGGCCAGGAGGCAGCTTYGCTGGTCCTTCCRACCTACCAGCCTTGTTTCGTTGCCATTCCCAGTCCTCTTCAAAAAACAACAAGGAACTGAAGTTCCCAAGCAAAAAAAGAAAACTGCTCCCTATCCCTCTTTCTTCTCTACATGATATTTATTCATTTCATGTGTATTTGGGTAGCAGAAAAAAGAAGTCACTCCGTCTGCGGTCATGGTCTTACTTGTGGTCAAATTTCAGTTTACCAGTTATGAGCAAGTACAGAGATCTGTTGTGGTCTTTTTTTCACTTTGATTAAGGTATTTCTGCACCTTAATCTGGTACTGCTCTCTCTATGTATGCGTGACTGAGACTAGTTAAAATGGAGGAGAAACCCTCTCCTCAACCTTCCCGCTCCAAACCACGGTATTTCTGTGGAGGTAGTTTGAGGAGTGACAAGTCTACATGTCGAAGGGGCACATATGCTTTCRTAAAGAGATGTGCCACTGGGCTTGCTCCCAATTCAGGTGTTTTCAGAAGAGCAGATGGGATCAGGGCAACCTTCGTTCAGTTCTTGCTGCCTTGTGAGGTGCGGTAGCCCTGAGGGTGCCTTTCATGGGAGCTCCAGATGTGTGGAAACACCTCAGCTTCTTGCTGATCAGATTCTTGGCTACTTACTGTAGTCACTGAAAGTAAAAGCAAGGAAACAAATGTCTTTCTTGTTGGATTTTTATTATTATTATCATTGTCAGTTCTATGGAAATTTCCATTTTGTATCATCTAGAATTATGGAAAGCTTTAAGGATGCTGTTACTGAACTACATGTCCTGAATGCACGCTGTTAATCAGAAGCAAGAAGCTAAAGTTCAGAAATATTCCAAGATGCCTTGAAAAAAAATCCAAAAATAAGAAGGGAGTGTATTATCAGTACAGAGAGATCTGGGGTGTGCTTGCACAGAGAATGAAATGCTTTCTCTTTCAGTTATCCATAAGCAAATATCTCAACTGTCCGACATCTGAAAGCAGATAAGAGTGATGGCACGGCCGAAGAGCAGCTTTTATTGGAAGATGGCATTAGCAAAGCACCATCATCCATTTATTACCAGATACACTTCATGTTAGTGATGTAGCCYTATCTGCAGAGTCTGGATCTGGATTAGGACCTTCCTGTCTGGGCATCAAAGGCTTGGTCAGAAAGGATGCAGCATGGGTAGTTCAGATCTAGGGTCCCTGTTTGCAGGATAAAATGTGAACTTTTCCCAAGGAGATCTGGACAGGCCCTGAATTTCTCTTGAAAACATATATCATTTTCATAACATCAGGCTCTTGCTCTATGCCTCAAGCCCTCTACTTTTAAAATAGGGACTTTTTTTTTTTAGAAAAAAAAGGTCCTGGATCTAGTGATGCATAAAGAAGGCAATACTCTTTTCAGCACAGAGATCACATTGTATGCATGTTGTTATTTCTGTTTAAAGCTTAATGAGTTTAATATAATGTAATTTATATAATATATTTATATAAATATCTTTATATATATTTATATATTTATATATTTATATATTTATATATTTATATATTTATATATTTATATATAAATATATTTATATATTTATATATTTAATTTAATTAATTAAAGTTAATTAAATAAATTAATTAAAGTTAATGAGTTTAAAGAAGGCTCAGAAATAAATGAGGAGAAAATCTTTCGATCAGTGACCCTGATCAGGGCCAATGAGTGATCTTGCTTTGCATAAGGCATGCGAGGGATGTGTGAAGAGATAATGTTAAGGGAAAGAAAGCAGTACCTTCCTTCCATCGTACCAGAAGTGGGTAAAGGAGCTGTCAGGGGACACTGGATTTTCCTGGTATGAAACAGGCAGGAGACTTTTCCACTTTTGCCCCTCGTTCCTGTGCAAATTGTCTTCAGGTCACTCACTGACCCATAAGACAAGGCTTGGTTTGTTTTTTGGTTTTGATGGAGTTTGCTGTCGAATGACTGAAAAAAAGTCATCGCGAAAGTATCTGATGTGGTGTCTACTCATCAACGGTGCCTGCTCCTTCAGAAGTGATTTTTCCGTTTCATCCTGTGACTCCCGGTATGTCATTGCTGTGCTGGAGTAAGATTGCTGCGGGAATGATTTACACTGAATGCTCTTATCAGTCCTGGGAGTGTAGAAATCCCACCATCGTCATCCTGAGCACTCCCAGTCTCCAACTTAAAAGCTTCTTCCGTACCTGCTTTACTGAAAAGCTCTCCAAAGGCATTTCTTTAAGCATCATTTTAGTGATCGTTTTGACCAACATTACTGAACAGTCTTTTATTTCTAGCTGTAAATCGAGCTAAATTGAGCTATTTGTGTAAGAGACAGGTGTTGATGAGCAGGTATCTGGCAATATTGAGAGAGATGCTAATAAAATAGGGAAAATTTCCTAGAGGAACAGGCATGACAGTGGGTTCCTGCTGGCAGTTAAAGACTCACAGCTTCCTGGCAATACACGAGCACTGAGGTGCCCGCTGAATTGTGGTCTCCATCAGGCCAGGGGTTTAGACCTGCTGCTGGGGTCGTGGCAACTAGCAGTAGTGTAGAAAGGAGAACAGCGATTCCCTCAGTCTCTCTTTCCAGGGCTGGCTGTCAACCTGAGGGAGGGACAGGCTCATGGTGCCTCCTCTGCGCAGTGAAAGGGAGGAAGCTACACTCTGGAGTAGAGGGCAGGTAGGTGTGTAAAACAGCCTCACTCTGAGGGAGGGACTTTAGTGACCTATGTGCCTTGTGGAAATAAACCAATGAACTTCTTTTCCTTCACTTTTTCACTTTATTTCACTTTATTTTTGACATCACTGAACTGGTTTTCTGTCCCCCATCTTTCTGTGGTGGTTTAGAGCAACCGGAGAACACTGACTGGCCTTCATTGGAAACCTGATGTAAAAATGTGGGTTTAAGAATGACTCAACTTTGCTTCACTCAGGTGTCTGTCTACCCTCTTTCGTCGTGCAATAGGTCTGCACATATTCGTTGCTTGGAAACACTCGTTCAGCTAAACTGACGCCTCTGATCAAGTGACATTTTGAAAAATCTCTGTGTTATTTTTATCTGTCTTTCATAATATTCTCTCACCTTGCCATTTTTCAKCATCAGATTTCCAAGCTTTCAAATGAGTGGCATTGTCCACTCGAGGTTGGTGTCTGGAGGACGAGGGATTTGTTTGRGGTGACAGAAAAGAGAAAATCATTCAGGCTTGGTGAGCCCCAGTCGCAGAGTGCGGATTCCTGAGCCCCCGGAACGGAGAGCTCCCTCTTGCTCCAGATGGAGCCGACCTGTTCCGAGCACATCCTTCTGCTTGCTTGCCCCGCACACACGTTGAGCAGCTGTGAGTACTGCTAGGAGGACTGGGAGCGGCTCTCCGCACAGAGAGATCAGGACGTTGTGCTCCCAAAGGAGATCTCTGGCTGCACCAGCCGCTCTGCTCCAGGCACACCCAGGCACACGGCGCGAGCAGAGCGAGGGCTACAAGTGCCTGTTCATTTCGTCAGGAAAGGGRCTTTAGGCCAGCTCTATCTAAAGCAAAGCTGCAGGGCCTGCTGGCTGCAGCCTGTTAATTCCACACAGGAGAGGATCCACGTCCTCCCCTGCAGCAAGGTGCGTGCCCGGAGCTGCTCCTCTCCGTGTTGCTGAGTGCCTTGGGGCATTCCTTAGGGCTGCTCCTGGCCCTAAGGAATGCCACCAAGGAATGCCACCTAASGTCCTCGCCTCAGACCTTTCTTGCCAAGCAGTTATGAGGAGCCTACAGGCTGCCTTTTGCTTGCTGGCCCGCAWCTCTGCTAGTTGCACTCACGCGAGCACCAGCAGCCCTTTCCCAGGAAATAAGCATTCACCACTTCCAGCTCTTTCGAAAGTATTTGCAAATGAAGAGCATTCACTTAAAATGTAACACTAAGACACTTCAAATTTATTCATACAAACTGGAAGATAGGTTTTTACAACATTTTATTTAAAAAAAAAAGCTTTTTTTTTTTTTTAAATGCTAATTAAAACACAAAATGGTCATCCTGAAATACAGCAGTGAGGTCATTCAAAATGTTTACACACATACSTTATGCACAGGTACCTATGGTAACTTGGCTACCTAAGAGAATCTATTTATAACAAAGTGTAAGGCATTGGCTTTGGGTCTTTGTTCACCTAAGAGCAGGCTTTGTTTCGTATTCTTAAGAACAGAAGGTGTCATCTCCCTGAGATCAGCATTCAACAGTGCCAGGTACGGCAACAAGCTACTAAGAGCTCGAATGAACAAGCTCAGCGCACATCAGCTGCAGAACAAARCCAAAAACTCAACCAAACAACAACAACCATAACAAAAGGTAATAACCATCCTTCTCCTTCAATAAATAAGGTGTTTTCCACTTGTCAGCGACAAGAAGCTCTCTCTTCTCTGTCCCTCCCTGCAGGTCAAGACAAGCAGCACAGCACAGTGCTCTGCAGCAAGCTGAGGCTGCTCTTCCCTCTGAGCAGTGGCTGGCAATTGTGGCAGGTAAAAACTGCGTGTCCATCTCCCCGGTTTCACATCTAGGACATCTTCTGTCACTCTGTTCAGAAAATCTAGAGGCAGGAATCAAAGCTGAAGTAAGTTATTACAAGGCACTAATTTGTCACAAAACGCATGTGCACGTGCTTAACTTCTTCAAATTTCAGCTTTTGTCAGTTCGCTTTCTGGAGGGTTCGACAGTGAGCCCGTAACGCGCTACAGAGCATCTTGGTCGCCAGTGGACTGCGTGTGGAACGAACYGGTGGATTCAGTGTGGTAGGTCATGTGAATGCCACACCACTTGCAAATATTTCCAGGTAATGGCCAGGTCTTAAAAAGCATCTTTACGTACTTCTTGAATTTCTCTCCCATGAAGAAATAAATGACGGGATTGAGGCAACAGTGAAAAAGGCCTAGRATTTCTGTTACCTGGAAAGCGTAGTCCAGATTTCTGCTCACTTGACAGTCTCTAATGATTCCTGTCATTTCCAGGGATTGCAAGAAAATCACAATGTTGTAAGGGGTCCAAAAGAAGAAAAACACAATCATGACAGCAAAGATCATCCTCACAGCCTTATTCTTTTTCTCATTTCTGCAGTGAACTAATGTTTTAATGATCATGGAGTAGCAAAATGCCATAACAATAAAAGGGATTATGAGCCCTAAAATGTTGATTTCCAAAGTGGAAAAGAGTTTCCATGTTGTGAAATTGCCTGGATATCTTGACTTGCAGGTAGTATAATTTTGTTCATTGAAAGATTCTCTAAATATAAGTTCGGGAATCGAGGCTGAAAGGGCTACTAACCACACAATAAGGCTAGTAATCAGGCCGTAGAAGGCAGTTCTTGCTTTCAAGGAAAACACTGCACGAACAATTGCCAAGTATCTGTCTATGCTCATAAGCATAATGAAAAATATGCCGCTGTAGAAGCCAACCAGATAGATCCACGAAATGATTTTACACCAGGGCGTGCCAAAAACCCATTGGTCTATTGTGAAATAAGACCAGAATGGCAGGGATAGAACAAAGAGCAAATCTGAGATGGCAAGGTTGAGCAGGTACACATCAGTCATGCTCTTCAGTCTCTTGTATTTGAACAGGACCACAATGACCAGAATGTTTCCCATTAGCCCAACCAGGAATACCAGGGTATACAGAATAGGTAGAAAGGAGGCTGCAAACCTCTTGACGCTTTCCTTGCTGCACGGTTTTGGAGCATCGTTGTAATTCTCATAATAGTCATAAAAAGTTGAGATTTCAACTTTAAGGGACTCTGTACTCGAGGAACTCATTTTCCCACAGTTCCTGAGAATGAAAGAATATGAAAACATCCATGACTTTCAGTTCATGTAGACTAGATGTTTACTCCACAAGCTTGTAACACACCGAAAGGAAGGTAACTAGCAATGACTGCCTTGTTGTTCTAGCTGTGTAGGTTCTTAAATGATATCTAAGCATTATGGAATACATATAATCACACTTGCAAAAATACAGTCCCAACATGTGTGCTCTGTCCTTGCAGCACTATGCAAGTGTGCCAAGTTAATTAACACCGTTCAAGGAAATAAATATGGGAATGAAAGATCCAGGCCATATATATATATAATTAGAAAGGGGTGAATCCTGCGTGGAATAAAGTGAAAAGCAGAACTGCTATTCATAATGGTTGAGGGTTTCACCCATCTTTCCTGTCAGGCAAGCATCACTGAGAGCRACAGTCACACCGATGCATCGACCCTTCCTTCTCGTGAAATGAGGCTTGCTGAAGGGTGACATCAGTTTGCARGAAGTGCTGGCCTCAGGGGTTACATGAATAATAAGAAGTGGTCATTTTCACGGGCATGCTTTTCCCTAATGGACWGAGAGAGCTTTAACTGACATTATTTTGACGCAGCCCAGCTCAAACAATAGACACAATGCAAATAGATTGCTCATGTTTGTTCTTCACATCGGAGCAAGTGTTGGTGTTTAACCTCACAYACCAGAATCTCGGCAAGTGTGAGTTATGTCCTTGCCCTTTTGTTTGTATTTTTCTGAATGAGGAAAGCAGAGGGAAGGYGAATATCATTGCTTTATGTGTCTTTCCACTGTATCCTGCTGCTATGTAACAGCAAGCACTGGCAACCATTAACCTGACCCTTCCTGTGTTTAATCACAGGCATGGGATCTTTCCAAACTATAGGTTTGTTGCCTTRCACACAGAGAGGATTTTAATCTGAATTATGAACTACTGAGACCATGCAGGGACCAAACCGCTCTACATCAGTGATTTAGAGATGGCAGCTCTACAATAACTTCATTTAAACATATTTGAAGCTAATTTAGATTCAGAATGGCTTATTTTAAGTATTTTAAGCTGCATACATACACATGAACACACGTACACCCACTTTTAGCTATGCATAAGTTTTGAAAACTGCTTTAAAATTATCTAAGCAACAAAAGGTAAATGAAACAGCACGTGGGTCTTTGCAGTCACACACACAATGAACATACATGCTACACAACTGTCTCTGCAACTGCATAAATTAAAAATTTCATAAATGTTACCTTTCYCCTCCTTTTGTCTCAACTGATGCCAAGAAGCTTCTTTGTTCTGATGAGGAAGGGTTGGTTGCTTCTCACCTGGTAGCTTGGTCAAGGAGGTGCTGCTGACAATGATATCCAACGGGTGCAAAAAGCAGATGTCACCAAGGTAGCTCCGTCTCTCAACGGAAACTTTGTACTTCCTTGCAGATTGTATCACAAGCGCTTCTCTCCTCAGTGCTCACCCAAGAAGGTCCTTTAAATTCAGACAAAATGCTAACTGCATCTTACTGAGGTCTTAAAAAAAAAAAAAAGAAAAGCTTCTTCTTACCCTAAAATCATTAAAAGATGTCATTAGGCAGCTCTGATTCACCAGAGGTTTTATTTTTCTTTATGGGTTTTATGAGACATCCTAAACCGAGAAAAGGAAAAAAAAAGACCACATCCTAAGCCCAGAAAAGGAAAATAAAAAGACCATTTCTACTGAGCAGAAGAACTTGGTTTGTAGGAAATATGTACTAGTCTGTCCAGATAAAGGCMATTAATTTTGCAAGTTACTCTATGCAATTGCAGAAGAAAAGAACTGAATAGAGAGAAGATAGGGTGGTCTCCGTTCGTTCTTCGGTGACCTTCCTAAGCCCTGCTTATCTTGCAAAGAAACCAGGTAAAGGCATGTGAATTCCCACGGCCTCTTTGCTCGGGGGAGGATGTCTCTTACAGCGAGGATGTCTCTCACATGCAGCAAAGCATGCTGACCACCACTGACCCAGCTCCAATGTGATAGCGGTCATGCTCAAGACCAACAAATCATGAGTAATATGGCGGGGGAGGACGGGCAGCTCAGCACTTTCTGTGAGTTTCCTGGAGAGTGCATTTGGTCCTGCTCGTCTCCTTTTGCATCTTGGGAGGAGGGGGAAAGGGATTACTTTTGGAAGAGCACTGAGGGCGTGCTGTTCAAATGGGGTATTTTTGAGTCCCTACTGCAGGTCAGTGGTGCCAGCAGCTGGGAAAGAGTCCCCGACAGGCCAGCCAGATGGGAGGCTGCTTGCTTGTTATCCACAGAAACTGAAGAGTCACTATGAGAAGTAAAAAGAAAAGCAAAAAATGATAAACAAAACACAAAGCTATCGRAGGTGGTTGGAAGGGTAGAAAGTCACAGATTTTTCAGCCCAGAGGAGATGATCTACCTCCTAGGCTGACATCTTCTGTTTTTCTGGACACAAGTACAGGTTTTCATTCGCTTGCACTRTTTATTGGCATCTTTTGTGCCTTTGACATTGTTGCTATGTACAGTAACTTACGTTTGGCTACAGCGTTTCTTCCAGAAAAGCATTCAGAGTTGACATGAAGACAACATGAGATGTGAGATCCACTGATTTCATGTTTTTCCAGAAGAAAATATTTGCATGGGAAGTAGCTTCTCAGTCATCTCCCATAAGCTGCACAGATGGGGATTTTTTAAACGGAAGCCGTTCTTTTGGCGCAGTCATTTTTCTGCAAATCATGCATGTCTTCTCTTCAGTTTGCTAACAGACCTTCCAAGATGTGGATGTCAGATGAGTGGGCAACACCGTGGGACCAGTTCCATCAGTTCTAATCACAGAAATTAGAAGCTCTTCCTCTTGCTGCTCTTCTGCCCATCTAAGTTTTTCACTAGGGGCACAAATCCAATTCTTCACCCACAACAGTATAAAACATTTCTTAATCGCCTGCTTTTTGGGGGAATGCCTCCCGTGCAGGTCTCACTGTTTCCTAGTTTTGACTGTAACGCTTTGTCCTCAATACACAGCCAAGCATTTGCATGCCTGTCTTATCCCATTGACTTCCTACCCCACTTACCCGGATGGCTCCTTTGAATTCTATCCGTGGTGATTTTTGTTGATTTCCAGATGAAGTACTGAACAGAATTGGATGCAGATATGATCCCTCTCCTACTCCATAAGACGTTTTCTTGGTTAAAGAACGATTAGTCACCAGCAACTTTTAAATGTTTGTCCATCAGTCCTAAACATATATGCCATGCTTCTCAGGTATGCTTCTGCTTTTTCACTCAGAGCATTACCAGAGGCCAAATCTACAGCACTATGAATGCCAGGACAGCAAGGTTTGTATGACACGAGGAAAGGCCCTGTCTGGCATTTGTCCTTTGCTGCCTTGCCTGGAAAGCTGTGTCATGCTGCCGTAGGGGTAGGGTGGGAAAGGCTCCTTGTGATAAGAGAGAGGCAGCTGTGATAAGAGAGGAGTGGCAGGCCTGCAGCAGTGGCATTGCAGAAGCCTGCTAGATCAACACGTTTTGTGTTTCGTCAGCAAATGAGAAGTGCTCTCTTCATGAGAAGACTTTGAGCAAGAGCGTCTCTTCAGAAAGAAGAATGCTCAGCTATAAAAAGAGAAGAGACATGAAAGCTAGAAATTATGAAAAAGTTTCAGAACATTAGAAGTATCTGCCAGCTCATGAAAATCAAAAGGATAAAGATGAACCCTAAGGTACGTTCTGATGGCCAGTCAAGGAAAAACGGCCCTGGGAGAGCCTGTAGGGAAAATGGAGGAGAAGAAGTAAAGCCTTAAAAAAAGGAAAGAAGCCTCTGAGCAAATGAGAGAATACTCAGAATAGATGAAGAGAGCTGTGAGTGAAGGTTCTTCAATGGCTTAGAAAGAAGGAAGAGTAGAGAGACTGTGTATAACTATAATGGGGGAACTCTGAGGTCCCCTTGTAACGCAGCAAGGTGTAACAGCCCAGTTCCTACCCAGAGAAGAAGAATCTGTCAGAGATTACCAAAAGGGTTGTTTTGCCATTAACCCATAGCACATGTCTCTCATGAGGCAGTGACACTAAAAGGAAAGGGGGAGGCAAAGTCAATGAGATGTAGAGATGTAAAACTACAGAGTGACAAGGGAGGAGGAGCAAGAATGCAAGAGCAATACCTCTTCTTTATAGAAGAAGAGGTATCTAGCTGGTATCAGGTATGTGGCATTGACCAAATGATCAGAGCATCACAGCCCTGCAGAGATGTAGACCAAAACTGATTAGCTTGACTGGGAGAAGGCTAAGTCTCTACATAGCAGTAGCATAGTAGTATATAGTACAGTAGTATATAGTATAGTAGTAGTAGTATATAGTAGAGACTTAGCCTCCTCTGTAGAGGCTACACTAAAACTAGCAGAAGGGAACTCAATAAAAACAAAGAGCAGAACAGCCTGGATGAAGAAAACCTTGTTTCTCGCCAAGAGAAGCTGGCAGCCACTTCCCCTTGTTATGGAAAGCCCTGTCCAAAGGAATGAGTGGAGAGGCATGCTTACCTAGTCCGCTAGCTGGACCTGCCGCTGAGATAGATACACCACTGAACTGCCATGCACCATCTGTCCTCTGCAATAGCAGCACTGGCTGGCGCCGGGTCGCTCAGAGGCGTTGCCAGAGAATCCCTTGTCTCAAAGAGGCGATTGATGKAGAGAGGCAGTAATAGAAGGAAAAGAAAAACAGTGTTTTGACAAATACACGGGTCAGACAGCCAGAGTTGCAGTCATGCAGCAGTTTGCCTTATTCAACAGTCTCCTCTATCAGATGGCCAACCCCTTCTTGCATAATCAGGCCTCATGCAGTTCCCTTGCAATGGAGTTGAATTTGAATCCCTCGGTTTCTGTTGTTGTAGTGCCAGTCCTTATTTCTTACCAAGGTACTCGTGCCACCTAGTGACTGTGTAGTTCCCTTCCTGGTAGCTTTCAGCTTATGTCAAACTTACCACTCATTACTAAAACTGCAGCAGTATGA